TAGGCGCCGTCTCCTACCGGGGCCTGGGGTGGGGTCCGAGGGGAGGTGTCTGATGCCTCGGGGGTTAGGCGGGAGATTTGGGAGGCCCTCAGTTGGCCCCGGACCCTGGTGACTCTTGGGCGGGAGCCTGGTAGGCCCTGACCCCGAGGGGATGGGAGGGGAGGAGGAGTTGTGGGGTGCGGGCTCCGGGTTGGGCCCCGGGCTTCGCTGCAGACTGAGGGCGAGGGGCCCGGGAAGCCCCGCCCCCTAGGGGGTGCCTGGGGGTGGTCCGAAGTGGGGTCTGTGGCAGGCTGGAGACTGGCTGCTTACCCAAACCCACCCCTCCTTTGCTCCTTCCCTCTGGCCCTGCCCGACCCAAGGGTGTGTTTTGTGCTCTGAGTAAGGGGGGAGTGCCCAGCACGTGCTCCCCTGTGGGCCTGGTGGAAGAGCCAGGTCCTCTGAGCCTTGCCTTTACCGTCGGGAGAATGGGCCAAGTGACGGATTTATGGCAGGAAATCAGCTGGGGGGCCGTTTTGGGGAGCGGCCTGCCCTCTTTGTGACCTTGGGTCTCACTGCTTCTTCTGTAAAGTGGAAATAATACTCAACTTTTGGACTTGTTTGTGGGGCCACGATGAGTTAATGTTTGTTTTGTAAAATAAAGGCAATGAAATACAGGACAGGTGCCCACTGGAAGCACTGGTCTGGGTTCTGTTGTCCCTGTTTAATAGTCGCTGGGACAGGAACCTGCTCAGAAAGTGGAGCTTGGATTGCCTGGCTGGAGTGGCTCAGCGGTGAGAGTGGGCTCAGGAACCAAGAGGTCATGGTTAGATTCCCTTCAGGGCACATGCCAGGGTTGCAGGCTCCATCCCCAGTAGGGGGCGTGCAGGAGGCAGCCAATCCATGATATTTCCCTCTCATCCATATTTCTCTCTCTGTGTCCCTCTCCCTTCCTCTCTAAAAGTCAATAAAAACATGTTTAAAAAAAGAAAGTGGAGCTTGGGTGTTGGGGGGAGAGACCATTTGTTGGTTGGTGGTGATGATCTAAGTTGCTTGGGATTGGATTCAAACTCAGGGTCCAAACTCTTAATCTGTGTGACCTTGGGTAGGTCACTCAGCTTGTTGGAGCTTTGGGGGGCGGTTAGTATATTTTTATTGACTTCAAAGAGAGGAAAGGCGAGAAAGATAGACACATCAATGATAAGAGAGAATCATCGATTGACTGTCTCCTGTACAACCCCTACTGGGGATCGAGCTCGAAAACCTGGGCATGTGTCCTGACCGGGAATTGAACCATGACTAGGTTCATGGGTTGACGCTCAACCACCGAGCCATGCCAGCCGGGCGAGCCTCAGTTTTGTTATCTGTTCAGTGGAGCTAGAATTGTCTCACCCAAATAGTGACCACCTGCCTTAGCAGTGTGAGGGCCCTCAGGTTGCCAACCCAGTTTCTCTCTGCTGAGCGCCCCATGTTTGAGCTGTTTTCTTGGTATTTCCCATCCCCCCTAAGTTGTCCCACCTGCAAATGGGGAGATACAGCACTGGGAGTGTTGAACTTAGTGGGCTTCGTTGCAGGCATGTCCCTGGCCCCTGTCTCTCTGAGTGTGGCTTATTTCTCAGCTGCTAAGACTTACTGGAATGTAAGCTAACATCTGGGAGCAAGGGGTGGTTGTGGGGGCTAAGCCTGCCTCACAGAGGCAGCAGTGGGTGGGGGGCGTGGAGCTCTAGGTTATGACAGGTGTGTTTATAGCTGGATCTAGGGAGTTTCAACCAGCATATTCTCTTGGAGCTCCCTGCTGCTTAGGGGGTGAAGTGATAAATGGTCAGTGGAGGGAGCTGATTGATAACCTCCTGGAAAGGGGACCTGGAGCAGTAAGTGTGGGGCGGTTAGTAGGCTGTAAGAAGAGAGTGACCTGCAAATGGCTTTGGGCTACAGTGGGGCCCAGGCTTCAGACTGTTGAGGGGACAGAGTAAGGCAATTGGTGGTGAGCAGCCTCGGCTCAGGCTGGTGGGAAGTGGGTGGTGAGTAGGGGCTGGGAAGGTGGCTGTACTAGGAGAGATAGGGATTTGTCATGCTGAGGAGTGTGCAGGTTACCTGTACAGCATCGTCTCAATGGGGTGATCCTGCCCTCCAGGGGACACTGGGCAATGTTTGGGGACCTTTCTGGTTGTTATGACAGGATGCTTGTGGCATCGAGTGGGTGGAGCCAGGGATACTGCTCAGCACCCCACATTGCCCAGGCTGGCTCCAAACGCCAGTATTGTCAAGGCTGAGAAGTCACTTAAGGAACTCTCTGAAGAAGCCATTTAAACTTGTAATAAAACCCAAGCAATTCAGGTGCCCAGGGTAAAACTAAAGCCCTGCTCTTCCCTTTGGTTGGTGCCCATCTTACCCCTTTGTCTGGTCCACGTACACCCTCCTTCGTACTTATTGATACACAGACCTGGCCATGTGTGCATTCCACGCCTTTCCCATTGGACGTCAGTTGATGCCTCTTGGCCAAGTGGGCAGTACTGGGTGAATAGCCACTGCAGATATCACTGGAAGGGTTCTGGAAGGTGGGGGGCTGGGGTCAGGGCTGGCCAGATTTCTGTTTGAAGATCATGGGTGCTGGGAGAGAGGTATTGTGGGCCAGGGAAGGGTGGTTCTTCAGGGAACCTCCCCAGCCTGGTATTAAGTTCCTCTTGGCTTTAGTTTCTTTTCCCTTACCTGCCCAGGTATCCTGTTGCTGTGGGGAAGGCTCCCCAAGTGGTAGGGGCTAGGCTCCTGGAGCTTGTGGGGAGGACCTACCATTTGGGGTAGGATCTGTGTCTACCCACAAGAGCCCATGTTTGGGTTTTAGCTGTGATTTTTATCCCCCCAGGGACACAGGCAACAGGAAAGGCCCCCTCAGATTATCTGTATACACACACACACACACAC